GTCTTGTTTTATACCTAGGTGGCTCAGATAACTCTCGGTATTGAAAAGGTTTCCCAATACTGATAAATATCAGATGAGCATTGATCGGTTCCATCATAATGATTGCATCTGTATGCGCATACAAAGCCACCTCTCTGAAATTTACACACATCCTCTTCAGGTTCTACAAGCCATAACTAATGTAACCCTGGGGATACATAACTTATTTCTGTCTGCCATCCTGCCGGTAAATATTTACCCTATGCTTATTATTATTATTCCCCTGTTGCCTAAAGAAAACACGGCTAGGTGCTGCTTGTAAAACTAGGAAAGAGCCAGACGTCACCACGGGCCTGTTTTCTCATTTTTGATGCCTGAGCCTTCTCAAAAGGCTTAACTCCACTTACTTAAAAGGTTATGTTTATAGAAATACATATGAAGGATCTACATAGAAAAAAAAATACCTCTTACAGGATCCCCACCGCCCATCAATGAGTCAGCCACAAATTAGATGTAGAACTTCCATGAGTCATTGAGTTCCTGTACGGTGGTTCCTAATCTGCCCATTCAAGCATCAGATTTTTTATAAGAGAACTGAAATTTATTACAGTCAGGTGTTTGGCATAATGATGTGCATTTGTTTCAGAATGAAGAGTTATTTGAAAGGATGATGACAATTATTCATTATCATTTGAAAATGTGTAAATGGTTTACAACTGTTGCATAGAGAAGTTTTTTGGTGGCATTTTTTTTTTACTGTATTAATTCTTATAAAAAGAAAGCCGAACACATGGGTTAATGACAACTAGCTTCTGGTTGCAGTGGTCAATATCTCCATTTTTCAGAAAATTTGATTTAAAGTGGTTGTAAATCTCATATATGAAATATGAACAAAGCATATCCCTCTACAGTATGTATTTGCCTCAAATAAGAGCACAAAGTGTCATTTCTGTCTGCTGCCTCATTCCTCTGCTATCAGCTTGAATTACTTCTGATATGTTTTCCTGATACCAAAAGAAAAATGGTGACAAGGGAGGGAGCTCCAGCATAGTGACAGCTTCTGTGGAGGGGAGGGGGGCGTCCCTTCCCTCCAATCCGCTCTCCTCACTGAGCTCTGCAGAGTGTGACTTCAGCTCTCCGCCTAATTTTTCTGAACTCTCAGACTTTTTATAATTCTGTACTTTGAACAGATGTAGAGAAGGGAAGTCTGAAGATAAACAGGTGCAACTTACCTTATGTAGGAGGATTTGTTTCATCCCTGTGTATCACCTGGGGCCAGTCCCTTAACCTGGTATATGTAAGGGTTTACAGCAACTTTAAAGGAAATTCATATCCATTCACTTACATGAGTTTAATGCCCAGCTCTTCACTTAGAATAATTTAAAGCGCAACAATAGTTTCAACCTGGGATCACATCAGTCCTGTGCGGTAAATTCCATGTGATTTGCACAGGAACGGCACCGCATTCCTGTGTAAATTACATGCGATTTGTATGCGGTGCGATTGGAGCCATACATTTTGTATGGCTGTATTCGCACCGCACCCGCACCAAAAACATGTAGGACCCTTTTTTGGTCCGCACTAGAATCGGATCGCATAGGTATTCAAACCTATGTGATCTGATTATGCACATTGCACCGCGTTTTGTGGACTGATGTAAAGGTGTCGTTAACTTAACATACACACCCGTATCGGTCCATGTGATCGGGATGCGATTGTGATGCGATGAATTTGCACTGAAAACGCTGAGAATTCCACCCCGCATCAGTGTGAACCAGGGCTCAAGTCCAACCCATTCTTGTGATCCTGACACTTCTGCCAGACTTTACAGCCAAGTCAGTCACTTCTCTTTTCTCTATAGCAATTTTAGAACATGGAATGGCTAGGAATGAGAAAAAGCACATTGACAATTGAATCACTCTGTTCTCTCCTCCTGTCAGCGTGTTCAGACTGTTGACTGGTATCATAGTGCAAAGCAACACAATGCTGATAAGCTGACCTTCCTCCTTCCAGTCTGAATGCTGCTGGACAGAGGATTACATGAGATGGATAGCTGGACAGATTGTATTAGTTCAATATCAACATACATTTAGGGATGTATTACAAAAATAATCTGTATAGCTGTTCATGCCCTGAGATTGCATGTGCATTCATTCTGTGTGATTTAGGGATAAAATTGAATGGTACTAAGCTATTTCATGTCTAGGAAGGTACTCTTTCACAAAGAATAGAGTGAATCAGGAAAATATTGCATTATGGCCACTAGATGGAGCAGACAACCATAGTAAATAAGTATTTACTGTATAAACAAAGATTGTCAGTTCCATCTAGGATTGTCAGCAAATTCAAATGTTCTCGGGCTATATTCCCTGCAAATCGAATGTGTGAATGTTGAAAATATTGCATTACCCCCACTAGATAACACTGATGCTCATAGTAAATAAGTATTTAGGCACTATGATTGTCCACTATGATTGTCCACTGTGATTGTCCACTGTGATTGTCCACTGATCAATTTGAATGTGTGAATGTTGAAAATATTGCATTACCCCCACTAGAAAACACTGATACTCATAGTAAATATGTATTTAGGCACTATGATTGTCCACTATGATTGTCCACTGTGATTGTCCATTGATCCATTCGAATGTGTGAATGTTGAAAATATTGCATTACCCCCACTGGGTAACACTGATGCTCATAGTAAATACGTATTTAGGCGCTATGATTGCCCAAACTATGATTGTCCATTGATCCATCTATGATTGTCAGCAAAATCAAATGTTCTCAGGCTATATTATCTGCAATTTGAATGCGCGAATGTTGAAATTATTTGCAGCCACTAGATAGCTCCGATGATCATTGTAAATAAGTATTTATATAGTATGATTGCCAGCTCTATCTAGGATTGTCAGCAAAATTGAACGTTCTCAGGGTATATACTCTGCAATTCGAATGGGTGAATGTTGAAAATATTGCATTACGGCCACTAGATAGCGCTGATGATCATGGTAAATAAGTATTTATTTATTATGATTGTCCACTCCATTCATGATTGTCAGCAATTCTCTGAATATATTCTCTGCAATCCAAATGCTTGACATTGAAATATAACATTATGGTCACTAGGTGGCACTGACTATCATAGGAAATACTGTAAATAGGCTCATATGCTCAACACAGCCATCTAGTGGCCATTATGTGGTATTTCCGCATTCACACATTTGAATTGCTGAGAATACTTTATATCCTGAGAATATTCGATTTTGACCCACTTGCACAGAAGGAATTTACATGTAGTTTTAATAGATGAAGAGCTAGACATTTTTTAGCATATATCCTGCTGAAGTGAGGGCAGCTATGCATTTTTTTTTAGATACACCCCTTAGTGTTTTTCTATTGAATACAGGGAGGTCAGTTCCCTCTCTGCTTTATTCCTGATCAGTGCCTTTTTTTTAGTTACCTTCAAGCACAGCTTTTTGTCATAACAATACAAGGCATGTTTGTAAAGAATCTGACATTCAATGAGTATTCACTGCAGGCCACTCTTCCAGGTGTATGTGTTTCAAATGCAAGTGATTGATTTCCCACCAGTGAATGTCTAGTGCAAGTCACATTCACTGACCCCATATGTCCTCTTTTATGCATTCTAAATCTTTTACTCCAATATGACTGCTCTATGGCTTGCATTGGAATAATCATTAATTCTTCAAGTCATCTCTCTGTCTGTGCTGTCTGACTCTTGAATTTCTCCCTCTGACAGTACCAAGCCTACATAGCAATGCTTAGAGGGGAGAGCGCGTTTTTTTTTTTTTTTTTTGCTTTGCAGCTTAAAGACTCCAGAGAACTGCAGCTATATTCATAGCGAGGGAGCTACCCAAACAACATGCAGCTTTTCACGCTATCTAAAATCCCATCAGCCTTTTGGCACTCTCTTTATGTAAATTCTGCCTTTCCCTAATTACTAACCTCAAATAACTTCACATCAGAACTGCATTTCCTGACACTCTACAACATGACTATGGATCCTGTGACTTCCAGTAAGACCTTCTCATGGAGATCCATGGTTATAAATGACAAATACAGGGGTTAAATATATTCTAGAGGGAAAAAAAAAGAACAGGTGTTGCTTATTATTATAACTATTTTCTAGTGGGTTAGGAAATTAAGGCAATAGTCATATCAGCTACTATGACCCTCGTTTATTCTCCTTCTTACAAATCTGCTCCAGTTAGCCACAGGTTAAAAATCAGCATTGTGATCATATATAAAGGAGTTGAGGTACACATGCTGTGAGATTTATGTGTGTGAAATTTACAAAGTGCCTCAAAGCACAGACCTGATCTAAATTTTCTCAGCCTTCGTTAGATAACACTTACAGGTCTTGTCCCTCCCCCTATGACTGGACAGTGAAAGGAGAAGCAGCACACTGATGAGCTCATCTGCCTCTCACTTTGCTTTCTCCTCCTAACAGCATGCCCCTTGCACTAGAGCACACCGAAATGGCTTTTTGTGCTGCTTCTTTCTCCCCTATTCTTAACTCTGTTGTCTAGTAGACTGCAAGAGGCCGATACCAGGCCAAATGTAGGTACTGAAAGGGCTAGCATTTAAAAAATATAATAAAGGATGAAATAATGAATACAGAATTGCATTAACCTCCCTAGCGGTACGATTATGTCAATATTTCTGTGCTCAAAAAAGTAAATTTTTTTGCATGGAATTATGTCATTTTTTTATTGTAGGCCTGTAATTTTTAGGAATAGCTCACTGAAATCTGTCCGAACAAGAGTCTAGTAAACATCCCGGTATGAAAAAATTTAAACACAAAATCATAAATTATAATATATTAAACAATCATAAAAAATAATAATATAATAATAATAAATTTCATTCAATAATATAATCAAACCAAAAACACTGAAATTTGAAATATAGTGCCGAGTTCGCACATCACTGAGCAAAGTCAAAAAAATCATTTTCAGTGTCTGATGACGAATTTCCCCCATGAATCATTATCATTCAATTCTGCAAGTATTTCTAATTTACTATCGCTGTTCTCTAGCTGGTCTAAAACCGCTTTTGACCTAAAGGGATGCTTTTTGGACGCCATGGACGTTTCTCAGTTTCCATGCAGAAAGGATGGTAAAAATGCAGGCAGGGCACAGGACAAAGCACTCGGGACAAAATGTATGTGAAATGCTTTGATACAGTAATTTTTTATTATGTGATTGTAGTGTATTTAGTGAATGTCACTTTTTAACATTTTTGAATTTCTTGCCGGATCCACCTAACGTATGTCCCGTACGTCCCGAAGTTCGCCGGGACCGGAATCCGGAAGACGGATGCCGACACCGGCCGGAGGAGATGGCCGGGGACGATGCAGGGGGGACATCGCTGGAGCGAAGGGCAAGATAAGTGCAAGAAGGATCCCAGAGCAACGCTGCAGGGTAATCCCGAATGTAGCTCAGGATTACCATTTCTGGTACTGAAAGTTAACCCCGAGCTACACTCGGGAATACCGCCAAGGAGGTTAAGGCAGTATCAACCCAAAAAGCATACATTTATTATATTGCAGTTTACTAATTCTTAGATGTGGTGGATACATTAGTTTTTTAGGCTTTCTTTTATTCTCACCTTGTGATCTAGCTAGTCTGTTGTTTTTCTTTAACGCATTACATTTTAATTGAGAAAGTAAAGAGAACATTTCGTAATGACAAGGTTTCCATATTATCACAGATATTAGTCTGGGTACATATCTTATTGTACATTAAACAATGATATCGTGACTCATAATCCCGAGCCTTTAAATATGTATAATTAACATTTCGTAAAGGGTCGACATCAGGTGGCATTTTAAAATGCCTATATAAAGAAAAAAAAAAAAAAAACTATACAAACGAAGGGAAAGGAAAAGAACAGAGCATCTAACTATTGTTGTACTCCATTAGTGCGTTATATCAATAGAGAGAGAAGAGGAGATCAGATTGATATCCATATTCACATGGTAACATTAAGATTTAGGAGATATATTTAAGTTTGTATCTTGTTATCTAGGGTTCCCAATCATTTATACATTCTTTGTGTCTATCCTTACGAGCAGTATAAAAATGTTCCTGCATACATTGTAGGTGGGTATATTGGATAACTTCTTATACGTTAGACCAGGGATCTCCAAACTTTCTAACCAAAGGGCAGTTTACTGTCCTTCAGGCTTTAGGGGTGCGGACTGTGGCCAGTGGGAGTAGAAAATGCTCCTGCATCAGTGCTCCATCATTGATTTTAATGGGGGGAATGGTGCCCCATTGTTGGTATCGGTGGGAGGAATAGTGCCCCATTGATAGTGTCACTTGGCGGAATAGTGCCCCAAGAGACAGAGAAAGACAAGCAAAGGGCCATATCTGGCCCCCGGGACATAGTTTGAAGATCACTGGGTTAGATGAATCCTCCTACTTCTATTTGCTCAGTAACATTAGCTGTGTCAGTATATGTACTACAATTGGATGCAATTGTGACGGAAATCCTTCAATACCTAAACCTAGCAATGCTAAATTGGGGGGGGGGGGGAGGTGGAGTAAGGATGCTCGTTTTCCAGTGCAAGCTACAGTGAGAGGCTTTGTATGGGCATTTGAATGCTGTACCACACTCTTTTTCTTCAAAGGTTCGATTTAAAGGATAAGTTCACCTTTTAGACAAAAATAATCCCCCGGGATTCTGTGGTGCAGATAGCAGAGGAATGAGAAAGGAGACAGAAATCACACTAGGTGCTTTGGATTGAGCCGATCACACACTATAGAAGGTTATGCTTTGTTCATTTTTCATTTCAGAGGTTTACAACCACTTTAACCACTTGCCCTTTTGAGGGTTTACCCCCCTTCCTTACCAGGTCATTTTTTGCGTTATGGAGCTGCGTTACTTTAACTGACAATTGTACAGTCATGCAACGCTGCACCCAAATGAAGTTTATGTCCCTTTTTTTCCCATGAATTGAGCTTTCTTTTGGTGGTATTTGATCACCTGTGCATTTTTTACACTATAAAAAAAACGACAATTTTGAAAAAAAAAAGTATTTTTGACTTTTTGCTATTAAACATGTCCAGTAAAAAAATTTAAAAACATCAAATTTTGTCATAAATTTAGGCCAAAATGCATTCTGCTACATGTCTTTGCTAAAATAAAAAACCCAATACGTGTAAATTAATTGGTTTACGTGAAAGTTATAGCGTCTACAAATGGTGGCATATATACTGTTTTTTTTTTCTAATGTTTACCAGTAATGGCAGCGATCAGCAACTTATAGTGGGGCTGCAGGACTGCAGCGGACATTCTGACACTGGGGGGAACTGACTTGGTGGCACTGACCTCCCCAGTGACACCAATGCAGTGATCAGTGCTAAAAAAAAAGCACTGACACTGTACTAATGGGACTGGGCAAGAAGGGGTTAACACGAGGGGCGATCAAAGGGTTAACTGTGTGTTTTACATAGGGGGCTGTGTCAGTGTGCTTTACTACAAGCACACTACTTTGGATGGCTGTGCTGTGCACAGCCATCCAAAGCAGTGTGCCTGAGCTGACAGGGAGGAGAACTGTTAGTAAACAAAACAGTTCTCCTCCCCATCAGAGATCGTCAGACAGGAAGCTGTTAATGGTGTATTAAAGGCGATCAAAGGGTTAACTGTGTGTTTTACATAGGGGGCTGTGTCAGTGTGCTTCACTACAAGCACACTACGTTTGATGGTTGTGCTGTGCACAGCCATCCAAAGCAATGTGCCTGAGCTGACAGGGAGGAGAACTGTTAGTAAACAAAACAGTTCTCCTCCCCATCAGAGATCGTCGGATAGGAAGCAGTTAATGGTGTATTAAAGGAGAAGTATTGCATTATGAAAAAACAAACACACAAACAAACAGCCATACCCACCTCTATACTTCAGCTGCCCTATGCTGGCTCTAAGACCCATAACTGAGTGACCAGATGACCGCTGACCACTCAGTTCTCAGTCTGCTCCACTCTGCATCTCTCCAGCGCTTTTTGGAGCTCTGTGCTGGAGAGGTGATGGGTGCAGTTGGCTTCACTTCTCAGCCAATCAGGTAGCTGTGTGAATCCTGACAATATTGTCAAGCTCTTTCCAGAGCCTGGAGTAGCTCTGCCTCATCAGCTGTTAGTGGACATTAGTCGCTATCAGCTGACTCTGGGTCACAGGACAATAAAAATAAGTATATTCCTATGACCCACAATAGAAGTATGGCTGAAAAAGCTTTGGCTTTGGTAATGAATGCAGGGCTGTATTAATTTGTCTTTTACATCCTATCCTTCCCTCCAAGGGAACAGAGCCAACAAATAACCTTTTGCACTTTTTCCAACACTTTGATAAAAAAAAAGGTACTTAGCAAAAGGGTGGACCTCTTTTGATTGACATACGCTTTATATAAGTTATCACCATTACGGCAAATGTCCGCAGACAGAAGTGAAGTTTTATGTCCATTGTCAGCAGACTCATTCCGTAATGAAAGTAAAGGTTGCAAGACTCAGCACTTTGATAGATCATACATCATCAGCACTTTCAATTGTCATTACTACGGAATACCAGTTATCCATGGTTAACTGACTCTTCACTGATAAATCTGTAAGAATTTACTGAAAGAAACCGTTTTTACTGACATGTAATAAATCTATCTCTCTATCTGTCTCTCTGTCTACATATCCATTTTGCCTCTACATCTGTTCCCCTACCACTATGTTGTACAATATGTGCCTGAGGATGTACGCTGAACTCATTGGATTGAGAACCATCGCATCTCATTGCTTCATGGTACCACTTCCTGTTTCCAGGACGCAAGCCAAGATGGAAGATCCAGATAGCTGGAAGAATGTAGCCCTAGGATTCCGATTGCTGTTTCAACTGTTATTAATTAACAATTTGCCAATTAGTTTCACTATGATGAGCATCAAACCGCTGACTAATTAAAGTGCATTTGACTAAAAGCAGATGGTTCTCCCCGCTGCTGTGCACTGTTTAAAAGGACAAAAACACATTTAAATATCTGGGATCAAATTTAACACCAGACATACAATTGTGTGTGGGGGTCCTGCGGCTTAAGTGTTTCAATTGTTCCAGGGATCCTGGCGATAGCGTAGGTGTTTTATTGTGGCTAATAGGAAAAAAAGAAAAGGAGACAGAAAAGTAATAGTAATGTAGAATTGTATTTGTTTCTATAGATGCCACAAAGAATCAATGTACTAACAACATCCAAATATGATTTTAAATGGTCGATGGGTATAGTAAGGTATATGTAATGGTATATTGAAGGATTGATGATACCATGAGTGACAAATGTTAGGATCAGTAACATAAACATACTGACATATTAAGCTATGCCCTATAAACATAAAAAAGACAAAACAGATACATACAATTAATTAAAACGGAGATCTTGGCAGGAGATAGAGTTACATTTATTATTCCTTCTTCTAGCAAACACAAGTCTTATGCCCTTCAAATCATGTATGTACATGGCTATTAGGTAACAGCAGAGGGGTCTCTGTCTGCCATCTGCCTGCATATCACTAAGGGAAATCCAAATAAACATTGCTGCACTATACTCACTGAGACTGATTAATTCCCTAATAATTGAAAACTCCCTGATATTACATTCTCCATGTACTTATCAAAATATGCAGAAAAGCTTTCATTTTTTACCCATCAATCCACCCAGCACTGTGCATGCTTGCTACAATCCTATGTTCACTACGTGACAGTACAGACGTATCACTGTCAATACTTTGGCACAATTTAAAAATGTCTAATATTTCCTATATTGTTTCTTAAAGCTATTTTTTTCAAGAACATAGGCATGATATAATTGAGTTGCGGTGGTAGTAATTAAAACCTCTGGTGACAACCCTAAAGATAACACTATTCAACAAATTTTTTATTTTTTGCCAGTTTTGGAAACAAAAGGATCCATTTCTTAATGAATTTCACATTCTGAGTTCAAATATAACAATGAAATTTGTCAATTGGCTCTAGTTTTTCTGTAAACGGAAAGTTTTCTACTACAGGCGTAATGACTACATAATGCACAATAATTATATAGATAGATGTCTTTCCACAAATATAAAGCAAGTGATATTGACTACATAACAAAGCCTAAATGGCATAATATATTGCATAGGATTACCAAGAAAAATTATAGCCATAAGCTAAGTTGAATCATTTTAATACTTAGGATTCTCACTAGTTTTGTCTTCAGTTTGTTGTGTCGGTTTTGCTTCTCTTGGCTTTTCTCTTGTATTCGAGGAAAGGGCTATCTCTTACAACTGCACGTGACTACACACTTCAGGTTCTTCCTCACTTGACTCAACCACGAAAGATTCTGGTGCTTTAGGAATTGGT